AAACGATGGCAATGCTTTCGCCGTGCGTCTTCTCAGTGCGACCGAAAAAATGTCGTATTTGCGCAGGCGTTTCACAACTTCTAGTGAACCAAAGCAAACAAGCATAAAAATTGGAATAGTGAGTTTTTCACACGAAAAATTCAAGAACTAGCGAACATTTACGGCTGCCCAGGCACAACTGTAGTTTTTCTGGTTTGCTGTAGCTTTCGCAGAAATCAGCTGAATCGTGGCCTGATGTGTGGCAGAATATTAGAACCTGGATCTTCTGACTATAAGATCGCTGCTTGTTGCGTGTGACCATCACCGTCCTTTTACTCTTTTTTTAACCAGAAAATCGAGTATGTTTCCCTTTTATGCTGCTTTGCGCTTCTTCATAACTTCAGTTTTCAGATCCTTAGGGACTCATTGCTATGAGATTAGCTCAAAAATCAGGGGCGGAACCCATTTATTGAGACCCTCGTTCAATTTTTTCCCCACTTGTAACTCGACTGCGAGTCTGATTTTTTCCACGCAGTGTTTGAGTTTGACGTAGTTAGCGTGTCAACATAGCGCGATGTCAGCTGTTGAAGAGTGCCAAACAATGGCTAGAGTGTCCAGGGTGGATCTTTGGTTGCCGTTCTTTGGAGTGTCTCAAAAAACTACTCTTTAGTGAATAGTTTAGGCGCGCAGCGCGCTTATGGAACTGAAACCAAAGGGGGGGGGGGTAACGTTGGGTCACGAGGAATCTTTCGGGCAGAAATCCTCTTGCTGCGAGAATGCGGAGAATATCGTCGCGTCGTTTGGCTGGTTTGCAGGAAGAGAATAGTGGGCTCGTGGAGGCTGCGTTCAGACTTCTCGATGGCGCGCGTCATTGCGAAGTCTGCACGCAGCCTCACCAGATGTTCTTAAACCGTAAATTGATCTTTCAGCTGGGGTTTTGACCTTCGTCGGGGAAGTTTTTGAAAAATCAGGTGTAGGTGCAATTTAGCCGTCGAAACCCAAAAAGCCAGGTTAAGTCTTCTGTCCGTACTCATCATTTTTGTGATGCAATTAATAGCTTGTTTTTTTACTAAAGTATTTGGAGTCTTGTTCGCTGCGGATGACGGGTTGCGTTAAAGTGGAATGAGTTTGGCGCAACCCGCTTTTCTCTCTTTTCAAGCTAACGGTTGTTTACCTCCCTTGCACCAAAGCAGTGGAGAATGCGCCAAACTTAATCTCACTGACACCCTCTCATCCGCATTGTACAAGTACAAGAGCGTAATTGAGGCTGTTCACACACTCTTCTGCAGTATCCCAAGGGCTCTGAGTTCTGAGTGAAAAACTTGGCCTTGGACAGGAAGTGAACTTGAACTTACGTTTGTCTTGTTTCTGTGGTAGCCATTACACCAGCAGAGTAGTCTTCAACCTATATAGCCTTGTTTACTGCGGATTCTGGCGTGTGCTAGGGAGCTTGAGATTGGCGTGGCGCCAGACCTTTCTCCACCAACTGATGAAGCTGGTAAGCGCCAACAATTGATGGAGAACACCGCACCAAACCCTCCCCTTGACAAGCCCGCGCCGGCGAACAAAGTTGTAATGTTATTGAGTGTAGATTTTCCAGATCAAAGCTAGGCCTTTGAGTTGTTGAAATTTCAACGCAACTTCCTTAGCTCGTAGTTAACTGATCACCTTCATTGAACGCGGTTATAGCCCTGGACGCTGCTCCCTTGGTTTCGTGGAGTCATCGTGCTGGCACACGCTGCTCGCATCTCCAATTCCCTCTGCATCAGAAAACAGCAAGCCTGACTGAGCGCTTCCATCATTGTTACTGAGCATGCTGCTTATCGAGCGCTATCAGTGCGCCAGCCCAGCTGTGAGATGTGAATAATGCAGACTGTTAGCATTCTGACTCAGTTATAACTGTGTGAATTCTTACGTAGAAGGGTGTGAGTCAGTGAAAATTCTCAGGAAATATTTCTTTTACTTTGTGGTCATACATTCCACAAACCTTTTTTTTCAGGAAATCTACTGATGATTTTTGCGCTTTGCTGCATACTGACAAACGGATCTCGGAAGCTGAGAATTGCTTACCACCTGAAATGGAACTTGGCAACATAGAATATAAGGTATATAATTGTTGGTGTAATTTGGCCACGAGAAAAGGGGGAGGGGGGGCCAATTGGCACTTTTACTACTTCTCATCGAGTGTCGAGCCATCAAGGGAAGACCTGTAAAATATTGTTAAACTATGGAATGGTAGCAGTTAAAGTCTGTAGCGACCACTTGTCAACTTGTCGCAAGAGTAACAGGTAAAGTAACAACTCCGTACCATTTCCATGAATGACAGCTTGCTCCAACTTACAAGAGTCGCAGGCTTGCAGATTGCTGGAGACTTGAACACAAAATACTGCAAGCAGAAAAGGTGCGAAATGCCCCCCCCCCCTCTTCTTGCGTCGGCAATTTGCGCCTAATTCAATTTTTTTTCCAAATCTTTAATTATTCAATGTATTTTTAGCAATTGCTTCCTCATCTATAGTTCTTTATCAGGTGAAACTTGTAAACCCGTCGTCGTCACGTCTACAGCATTTAATAACGCAGATGAAATGGCGACTAAGAGAGGGGCAAGGCGAGGCAATTTATGAGGTGAGACTATACAGAGACGTATAGTTGTTTTGTGAACTGGTTTCACTGCTTTTACAGTAGACAGTAAACTAATGACTAATGCCTGTTCAGGTTGGCGTTGAGGATGGCGGTAAAATGAGCGGGCTATCAGATGTAGAAATGGAAGCGTCGCTAATTACTTTGAAAGCTATGGCAAATGCTCTTGATGCTAGCATGGTTATCGTAAGTCGATCGTTCGTCTTTTTGGCCCAATTGGGCTTGGTGGGGGCACAAATGGGCACTTAAAAAGCTGATACAGGCCACCCTGTGAAGATCTGCAAGCTCTTGCTGCTGCTAAGGGGGCTCATTTGTACCATTTCCAATGATCACGAAAGTCTACGGGTTCTACCAACGTTAGAACTATCATTAAACATGAACTTGCAAGAGATCTCGCGAAAGTGCAAAATTTTCCCTCCGAGCCGAACCG